CAAAAGACAGAAGGACAAGTTCGTGGTCAAAAGAAAGACGGACACGTCGTGGTAAAAAAATAGACGGACAAATTCGTGGTCGAAAGAAAGAAGGACAAGTTCGTGGTCAAAAGAAAGACGGACAAGTTCGTGGTCAAAAGAAAACCGTCATAGCAGTCAATCAACCGTTCACAAAACACTACACAGAAAACTAGATTTAACAACACTAACCAAACCAAAATAGAGATTGAACTCGGGTGTTCGGAGGGATCGGCAGTTTAAAGTAAATGTTTATTTTCTGCGAAAGAAATAAACACAATGACTTATACACTACCCTGAAAACTACATTTTATCAATGAATTATATATTACAATTCCTAGTTTTATCACAACACAAACTAGACAAAAATAACGTTTCTCTGCTGGAGTCCAAGATACATTGTTCAATACATGGTAACAGATATATATCATACTGTTACAAAAATAGATAGAGACTTTTATCTGTTTATTTGAAATTTTACGCTTCGTACTTCATAAAATATTAAGAATGAACCATCTGTAAACTATTTAAACTATTTCAGACAGTGGTCTAACACATGTATTAAAAGGTTTACATATCAAAACAGTTTATTACATTAACTTCTATAAAATAGTCCGATAATTATTAGATTTCTTTAGATGGAAGTTAATTTTATCTCAGTTCGTGAAGACCTTTAATGCCTGACTAGGTAGGTGGCCAAAATACAACTACAATTATAGACGTACAGGTGTTGTTGACATTAAATATTATGAATAGATGCTAGAAGAAACAGATAATACTAAACAATGACTACTGGTATAAAACAACAAGAGCTTTCTTTTATATGTTAGTTTTATTCTTGGCTTTTAGATCTATTGGCTGTAACTGTCTTTGTATGTTAACAAACAAACTACATAAATGTATTGAAAATTTGCTTCGAATATCGATATATTGTTGACTGAGACTCAGTGTCTGATAACAGTTCTGATATATTTTATTTGTCGTAGCCGCAATCCCTTTCATCGGTTGGTACAATCCCCAAACGCGATTTGTCTGAAGAGTTAAACTTTTTAAGAGTTGCATAACAGACGCAACATTTTGAGCAGGAAATGCTTACTCTTTCTGAGCACCTGAGTCCATCCCTGGATTTTAAACACTTCGTGTTTATTAAAGCTTGAAATTAGAATTGTCTGTGAAGTTTTTTTTTTTTTATTGTTGTTTGTTTTTTTTTCAAACTTTTTGTTTGTTCATGGCGTTATAAAATAAAAGTGTAGGGTATACGTTCATGGGAAGTTCAATGATAAAAGACATTTCGAAGTCAACACATAGTCCTCAACAAGACACAAATGTCAAGCTCTAATAAGGTCCCAGTGTATTAAAGTAGAGAATAATTTTATAACAGAAATCACAAAAGATCCGCCAGTTCCAAGTCAGGAGCCTATAATTCATTGGTTGTCGTTGGTTGCTGTAAATTATATTTGTTATTGGTTTTACGTTACATACATACACCAGGCCGTTGGTTTTCGCCTTTCAATTGTGTTACATTTTGTTATGTAAGGTTCTTGTATAGCTTGCTATACAATATGGGTTTTGCTCATTTTTGAAGGTGTTCGATTGCGTTTGTTTGCTAACATCTTCATCATTTGGTCTCTGGTGGGTAGTTGTCTCTCTGGCAATCATACCACATGTTCTAATTTTTATATTGATATATTCAAACATCGTTAGGGTTCTACCAAAGGTACACTACTGTGTCAAACTTTCATTTTTCAATCAATTTTTTTCTAATAATAGAAAAACCGCTGCTTTTACGTTACGCTTTTTGTCTAAATTTCCCTAAATGTCGTCCGATTTGGACTAAGACCGGAGATATATAAGTAATATTCGTTCCGTAAATATGGAGATTTTAACACCTTCAGTACCCCTGTTAACCCTGTCGCCATAAATCGCCATAGTTTGTGGTACAATTTAGTAAAATTATCCGCCTTACTTCTTGAGTATCCGCTTACTATTTATTTTAGCATGGAACTATTCAAAATAACAAACGACTGTGGGGTACCTATTTACATAACAGTTCTGCATGATGTGCTTCAATTCAGTAGTTAACAGGTAAAGGCAGACTTTTATAAGAGCGAAACATTGAAGTGTTTACTATATGATTAACATCTATAAATGTGTCCTGGTATACAAAAAAGACACTGATTAACGAAACAGGAGGTCAACTCGATGATACATACTACGGAATTGTTTTGAATTAAAATGTTTGTTTTTGTTTCTAAGTACTTACAAAGATGTTTATCGATATAATCTTCACTTGACATTACTTATTTTTTTATCAATGGATTATATCGAATAATATTATAGTAAAGGTATTTCAAATAACGGACTAAGCAGTCGTAACTTGATACCTATATAACGACTATTTATACGGGTACTTAACATGTATTGCGATTCATTATATTTTTCTTACAGACCTGTTGGGAGCAGATCTATTGTTATATGGAATTCTATAATCCTGTTGAGCCACAGGACTATTTAATCTTTCGTTTGTTTTCTCTCTCTGTCTTTTGAATCATACTAGTTAACTTTTAAATATCTTTACTACTTTATTTCATAACGTCCTTTGTGCATGGGTACACATAATCAGAGAAACGACGTATTAGAACTTTGACCTTATATCTTATTTTTAAGAATAATATTGCCTTCACTGTACCAAGTAGGGAATATGACAATTTTTTCCCCCCGTTCTGTTGGCAAATAATTAATGAAATTTCTTATATTGTTCCTAATTTTATTTCAATGAATAATGGGACAAAATTTGATTTTGTATTTTTTCCTGAAGAATATGACATTTTGATAATAATTGTTAATGGCATGAGTGAGATGTATTATTACAAAAACAATGTTAGCAATTTTGTATGAATTGTTGATTTTACATGTATACCTTTTTCTTTGATATACCCTAATATATGAATGAATGAAATAGAGTCAAGCAGCATTTCTTCTATATATAATCATTTGTATGCTAAAGGGGATGTATGTCGTCTAACATTTTAATGTTATTCATAAATGTTACATATTTGTATTGTTTATTGTATATTATTGTTTGTATTTAGTAGCAATCCGACTGTTTGGATTTTATACTAATAGAATACCTATCTCATCTGTCTTCTGTTGGTTGATATAATCGAGAATTTAATTTTGTAAGGTTTATGGACTTCCCCATTTTGAATTTACCCAAGAGTTCGGTATTTTGATATTTTTTACGTAATTATAGAAAGCAAAGTAATATAAAGCAATCCTTTTTTTGTACTGAACAGTTTATGTATTCATTTTGTATATGAAATGAATGGTATGTGACACAATAAGTACAAGATTTGTTCTACCACGAGCAGTTAAATCATTGTAACAGAAAAGACAACACAAAGAAAAATACAGAATACAAGTTGCTCGATCAAAATTTAAATATGAGTGAAAGGAAATTAGTGATATAAAGCAACGAAACAGAATCCCAAATATACTAATGGAATAGAGAATGAAAATATACAACCTAAACAAACATTTACAAAAAATAAGAGACATTTAAAAGTTAACATATGTGGTATTCAATAATAGACCATTGTCTATACAATATGCCAAACTCGAAATTGTCTACAGTCTTGAAAAAGAAAGGCGAAAGATATCAAAGGGACCTTCACACTCATAAGTCGAAAACGCAATGGCAAAAAGAAGAAAAAGACCAAAACCAAAAGAAAAACAACAAACAGTACACGTATACAAATCACAACATAGAAAACTAAAGACTGAGCAACATGAACCCCACCTAAACCGAGGGTGATCTTAGGTGCTCCGAAAGGGTAAGCATGGAATGAATGTTCTTGCTGTATCTGAACGAATCTAATTACCTGAAAGGGAGCTCATAATTCTTGTTCTTACGTGTAAACAAATGTGTATTACATTTAACGACTTTAACAAGCCGGTAAACCGGTAAGAGAAATTGTCTGAATTAGTAGTCTGAGAAAGAAACAAAAGGATAAAATGCCTTTGCGCATTCAAATTGAACATGGTTATGGATTCCGTCTATAATTTTTTCGTAAAATACTAATTAATAATCCCCTGTCGAGCTTAAGCCTTTACATAACAGGCTTTTCTATATTTCTTATTAAACCACGAAGCTCTTTGTCACCACAATATCTAGGTAGGTGGTCATCAATATGCAGCTTAACATACAACAACCGTAGACGTTCTTGTTTCGCTCTTGTCAAGTGCAGAGAGGTAATAGGCTATTCTGATAGGTGAATCTATTAAAGATTTCCTGTGTTTGACACTAACAAACCACAGAATTAGATCTATCATACATCAAACCCATATCACATAAAATTACAATAATTTTTTTTCATGTTTGTGTATTGTGTTTTGATATGTTCGGTTCCTAAGTCTTTCATGAAGGAGAACACAGGAGACGCTTGCACTATATAAACGGGTTACTCATTTTCGAAGACGCTAACCATTGAAATGCTTTATGAACAAAGATCAAATGCTGATCGGCAATTTTCTGAATTTTTTTTTTTTTTTATAAATTTTGGTTTCATGCATACATAACATATTCATTTTTTTTAAATAATGCTGTGCGTCATGCTTTATTGATATAAATAGCTTTGTTTTACAGTTTATCACAACTCTGATTATTTAGAGTGAATATTTTATAAATTATTATGTTATTTCATTGAATTTTGTATTAAATTTTAAAAGATTTATGACTTTTTGAAAATAAAGTATGTGTTGTTGTTGTTGTTGTTGTGTTTGCTTATTTCTCACAAGTGGCCACCACATAATTTTTCTCTTTCAAAATTTACTGCGCTATCATGTCAATGTGTATGGTTATTGTTAAACCTTTGGTTCTTTTTTCTGTTCTTCTGAATACCACATTTGAATTAACAAACCAATATAATCTCTCAATCTTTAAATGATGTCAGAAATCTTGGCCAGAAATAAAAAGGGTGAAATGAATAATCATATATCATTTTAGTTTTATTAATTGGTTTTCAATATGAATATATGATCAAAAGTGTGACATGAAAAATATGATATCAATACACAAAATGTTAACATTTTAAATGTAATATTTATGTGAAATATGAATAATTTATTGAGATACTAGAGTCAATGACAATAATTATCATTGAAATTAAAACTTAAAAATGTACATAGCCTAAAGAAATTCATTACACAAGTCTCCAGGGAGTATGACCTTGAACAATATTTGTTTGGGGGAATTTACCCTTTAAAATGATCCCTAAGATAAAAAGTTTAGTAATATTTTGCACGTGACGAAATTGTTTGGTAATGTTTTGCATTTGTTACCCCCATCAACCTCTTTCTCTGCCTGTTGCTTTGAAACATAACATAAATTGTTGACTGTCTTCATATTTCCAGTTCAGATTTTTTATTTGCTGTATCGATAAAATCTTCATAAAATTCTATTTTTTGTTTATTATATATGCATATATAATATACATTTTTACAATTACCCAGTAAGAAAAGAGACGCTGAGGTAATGAACTGATGGCATTAACCCAAAGAACACAGATTTGTAGTTAATAGAGGTAGAATACTGTAAGAATTTAATCTTGTCTATCGAACAAGGTTTACTATACGAAAAGGTAAATAGCACATGCTTGGGGTTAATATACGCCATAAGCTGCGCAATACATTTATTAATATCTATTTGGCGTAATACTATTTTTTTTTTATATAAAAGATAATATTTGCGAAAGTATTCATTAATAAGTTAAATTAAATTCTAACACAGGACCTTGTGGAAACAATATCAATAAACAGCAAATATTTAGCGATGTTTAGTATAAATTGAATATCAACAGGACTTTCGTGATGTTTGTCGCATTAAAACTATTGCATATTGCAAAGCATACATAATAATATTTCTTGGCAACAATCAAAAGGCAAAGGGGAAATATTATAATACAGACATGCAATATACCGATAACATAGACACTTACTCGTATAACAAATTAATAAAAAATATGGAATGACAGCAATTAAATGCATAATTTACAATGCTGGAATATCACTTAAGTTTATGACAACAAAAACAAACGGAACAGACGATCAAACAAAATATACAGTATATATACTACAATATTCATCTCACTTAATAGCACTTTGATTTAAAATTTAATCTTTGGTATGTTGTAAATTAACACTTGAATAGTAAAATGTCATTTGTACATTTGAATAATTCACATGCGTCAATTATCTTGGGACTCGTGAATATAGTTCCATTGTAAGTATTATTTTTTCACAAAATATGATAATGTATTGCTTTACATTTTCAACACGAAAGTGAACATAAAAAATAATGAAAACTAATTGTCAATGGGACTAGACTTTGACTAGTTGAATTAGTTTCAATTTTGTATACCATTAAACGTGGTTCTATTTGATCCTCATTTCCAACATAATGTCTGTAGGTTTTTCGAGTTCCTTTTTGTGTCCAATATATACGGAAATTATAGAAACTTTGTTTGTTTACACCTATTTCCTGGACTCGGATGATATTTTCTTTATCATCCTGATGGTAATATGAACAACATGTTTTATTTACACGAATGACCACTATGGAAACGTAAACGCATGATGAATAAAAAGCAGATTGCAAAGAAGTTTATGTTACCCGTTTCTTTTGCAGACAATTCTTTTTATCAATGAGGCATGAATATAGTGTTTTATGCCAAATTGTTATGTCCGGCAGGTGTTTTCATTTAGTCAACTGGCGCAATACATGTACTCTGTGTTGTTGTCCATTGCTATTTTCACTTTCAGTAGACGTGGTGTTCGGTAAATGTTCCAGAACTATCACCAAAAAATGGTAAATTTCGTTTCAGTCTGTTTTCACTCTTGAAATTGCACATAATCTATACTTTGGAATTCAACGAAACCCCTGTTACATTTTGTTGTTATGAAAATATGTGTTTCAAAAGTTCAACGAAAAATGCAACAAACAAAACTGCTTTTCCATGAAGACTTGTAGACGCGTTTTTCTTATCCAAGCCTTCTTGATATCCTAGTGACGTGTCGATAAGAGTTCCTGAAATGAAACATTCAATAATGATAGTAGGCCAATTTATCCTGTAGTCAACCGTTTTACTTTAGAAATACAGTACATGTATGTTGATTATATTCATATAGTATGAAAGTATCGTCTGCTGGTATGCTGCTCTAAAGGCGCGGGCCTTAAATGAGCGAACACAGTGAAATTTGAATCAAATTGTCCGTCCTTTTCTCCTTCCCCATCTTAGTAATGCCTATTTCTTCAAAAAAAATTAGACAAGAATTGAATAAAAGGCTACAGTATTACATTGCACGATAAAAAAAAACTCAAATTGTTAGAAAAGATAACATTAAGTTGAACTCGCTTCCACGGAGCGAAAAAAGTCGTCCAGCGTATGATTTCTTCCCGTTTCTTTAATACGTTTACAAATAATTATTTAAGGACAATGAATGCTTATTGTTTGTTTATTCGCATATAAAAATTTAACCAAATGTAATCCAATGAAATATGAAGCCCTATTTCCCTTTTTCGTTTTCTATTTATTATTTATCGATATTCACGTGTTTTTTAATTTTTATTTTAGCTCATTATTGTTTGTAGATGTTGTATGTGGTAATTTCCATGTTCTGCCTTTTTTCGCAGATACATATTAAAAACATGAATTGCAAACATCTGAAGAAGAAAAAAATCAACCAATAATTAGTTGTTATTTTATTTTGACATTTAATCATAAACAATTTGAAGTATCATTAGCAGCCTCATAACTGATATTCTCAAATTAAATAAAGCAACTCAAATACGCCAGCTGAATCTAAATAAACAGAGATCAACAGCACTTCAAATGTTATAGTTATTCAAACAATTATTATACATGATATGACACATACAAAGTCTGTGACAAAACGGAGACCCATGTGTAAAATGAAAATGACTAATCAAGCAAATGCTCTTTCTTTATTGTTCTTCAGAATTTGTCGCTTTTCAAAAGATAAAAAAAAAACTGTTTTGAAGTGACTGACTCATAATTATCTCAATCTGCATGATCTGTGGGTGGTTGTATTAATTAATGACATGAATAAACAATTATGTTTCTTACCCCGTTTATCTTTGTTACCAGCAGCTGAAAGAAAGAAAAACATTAAATTATGCATGATTACACGCAATGAAACATCTAATTAAATCTGACGAAAATAAAAATTAACCAAGCAGAAAAAAAATATCCTTTCTCGCTTTTAATATCATTGCATTGTTACCGGGTTTGCAGTTATCTCTGCTTGAAGGAAATGAAATGCTAAGAAAAGTACTTATTTAGTTAATAAACATACATCAACAGCCCAGCATCTCAGTACCTCTGTACTGGCATGAAAATATTGTTTAAATGATGATGGCGGTTTTACTTTCCAAAAAAACATGGTCTTACTAAATGTATTTTCCTTATGAATAGCTCTGAAATAATTTTAATTCCTTGTACGGCTTTGGCTATATTGGCTCATCAAAGTTTGTATGAGGCTTTGGATTTTCAAATAATATGGTCTCGAGCATCACTGAAGAGGCATCGACATGCACATTTGGTGCAGTAAAATTGGTATCGATAATGTTATTGCATCATCCTTTTAGCTGAGTATTATAAATTCAAACGTCAAGAGGGATTTAAATTTTTTTTTATACACACTATGTAACGAACAAAATAAACCAATTTATTTCATTTTTAATAAAAGCTTACAAATTTCCCGTATGAATTGAGAAGACAAATGTATACTGTCAACTGTTCTGAAGTTATAACTTTGAAACAAATGCTATTATCATTGAAAGTCATTCGCCATTACATAGAGCAACAAATTGAATGATCTATTTGACATCTTATTGTATGAATATAGTAAGCTGTCTCTGGTAAATGAATAAATATTGAGGGTCGTACTGTCTTGCCGAGACACAAAGAAACAGTTTCTCTAACTTCAGTAAATCGATATAAAAGACCATTTGTCTTCTGACAAACACTTCATACAAATTCCTTTATCAAGTAACAATGTTTAATTCCTCTTAACACGAAATGTATTTTTCTTGTAGTATTTTGTTTGGCAGATGGCATAAACTCATAGAGAAGAAACTGGACAAATGATAGGGTCCATTGTAGACGATTGATATATTTCCTCATAGACACGTTTGAAATAACCGTATTACGGTAGAAGATATATTTAAAGATCTGATAACGACCTATAGACAGACAATTCTATTTCTGTTGCAACAAATATAGAACGATTACGTTGGTAACTATGATTAAATACAACCAAAATCAAATTTTTCCTGCTTTTATTACCCTGACTTTCTCACACGATGCTAAGTAATCAGTATAAGAGAGTTACACGGTACAATCATTCATAATTAAAGATTGCGGAATATCAAATTAACTTTAAGAAGCTTTTACTCCACGAAATCAGTAAAATTTGCATTATTGAAGTCTAGAAAATTTTCCATTCCTTATTCGTATGTGATAAGTAAAAATAGAAGTATCTATATAGTCAATATCACTCAGCAGATAAGTATAACCAAAGTTCAGCATTGTAGTATCACCAAGAACCATTGCAGAGTAAATACTAAAATGATTTGTTAATGTGTGTTTTGTTTTACATTTTTGCATTCTATATTTTAAAGAACTTCTCGTCTAATTTCACTTATATTTTTAAATTAGATAAAGACGTTCATGTGGAATAACGCTTTCCCTATACTTTTTTTGGCAATCCAACCATTTTTTTTCCTAAGTAATAATCGACTAAAATATATTCCAGCAATGTTTCAACTGCTTGAAGGTAACGCAAAAGTGAGTGATTGTGTTATCACGGTATGTCACCTTGTATATCCGCTTTAAATAACGTCCCTGGCCGAAATGAACAATAAGTTTCCAAAACGTTTGTCAGCAAATGGATCGCTAATAATAGTCAAAACACTCTTGCATTTTAGCAATATAGAAATAGGAGTTATCTCTCATGATTTGTCAGTTCATAGTTCATTTTTGAGTTTTCAACGTACTTGTGAATTTATATAAGAATCATGTTTCGTTCGCATTGAAAGTACGGTGCGTCCTTTAAAAAAATCGTACTCTCAGTTCATTGTTGGAATCTTAAAAACAACTAGCTTTACACAACATAGAAACTACGGAACAAAAGAAAACTGAACGATGAGCCTAGATTTTCCTTAAAAATTACAAAATGTCAAGAGAAATTAATAAATGACACTTATGAATTAATTTCGACAGATGGAGCGAGACCTAATCGGGCTTCTTTCTTTAGATATGAATGAATAAGATAAGGGTATATTTTAGTAAGACATCAACCAAATGATAAACAAAAAGGCCGTTAGTTTCCTCGATTGAGTTGTTAAATACATTTGTCATTTCGGGGCCTATTATAGCTTTCTATGCACTATGGGTTTTGCTCATTGTTGATGGCCGTACGGTGATCTATAGTTGCTAACCTTCTATGTCAATTGGTCTCTGGTGGAGAGTTTTCTCATTGTCAAACCACATCATTTTATTTTTACATTCAACAATAGATTAGCATCAATACAAAATGTTTAGCTCCAAATTGTCTCGAGTCTAGACATTATGAATAAAATCAACAGAATCTATCAAAGATCTACCATCATGATAAGATTTGACATATATTATGTTAAAACGAGGATTCATTGCTGACTTGTGTAGAGTGAATGTTTGAAAACATTGATTAATTGACTAGAAAGTGGTATCAAAATCTCTATAAGTTTACCTTTTCTTATATAAAATTGTTCCCAATTACGTAGCTGATTAATACAAATCCGATAAGTCAAGTTAGTTATCATGTATTAAGTTCATCAGTCTATTGAAAACTATAGAAATATAAAAAAAAAAAGACTTACTATTTAAAACCTGGACATGTTCATGTGTAGTTAGATCGCCCGTAGTTCGACACAAATAATATCCAGAATCGGCCATTACAACCTTGTCTATATACAAATCACTTTTAATTGATTTGCCCTTTAGTGACACAGCTTTATAAATTGTGGCTCTATCGTTCTTTTCTAGTTCATTTCCGTCCTTAAACCAGGCAATATCTTCTAGTGGCGTTTCCGCTTCTGTCGCGTTACAAATCATATGTAGCGTATCTCCAATTTCTACGTGAAAATTGCCTGTGATCATAATTCCTATTCAATAAAACAAAATAAAAAGTAAAATTAGTTATTCTGCATGAAAATGTGCGTTTGAAAATGGACATTATTTTCAAAATACTTATTCTGTCGTCATGTCACATTTGACTGCATGTTTTTTTAGTGGATTTGCATGCCGGGTGATACATGCACAGCAGAAGACGCTCACCCTGTCGAGACACCTGGTCTCGTTCTTTTTGGAGATCCCTCAGTTTTTGTTTTATATATTGATTTGTCTTTTAAATGATAAATGCATTTGAACTACGGTAACAGTTGCCTATATTTATGACTAAACAGATATGATAAATGTAGAGGTTCATCAAACAACATCAAATAAATTACTTCGGAAATTCTTTTGAAATCAAAGTTATTAGTAGATACAAAAAAGTTATACCATACTCCAAAAGCAACTGAAATAGTCTGTATATGGAATAAACATACATAATATTGCACATGGCCTCAACAAGAACACTCGTCAACACGCGTCGTTCGCTTAAATGTAATAAAGTGACTGAATATCCTGTTTCTTTGATAAATCGGTGGTATCGCCATGTATTTGCATGACATATTTGCCACTAGATGTTAAGCAAGCAACAATTAGTCTTTAAATTGACGATAAATGCTAGGAACAACTAGATGCATGGGAATTTTTCAATGTGTGCAAGTTCCAATGAAAAAAAAAGTACGATCAGTGAATGTACGTAATAATCTCATGCAAACTAAAACATAACAAATATTTCAACGGAACAGCGATTTATCGTTAGTCTTCATCTTAAGAGTTTCTTAAATTTTCAAGATTGAATTAAAATAATAGAATTTGCTTTTTTCCTTGGTTTGACAAGTTATTTTAAGATGCTCTAGATATTTTTAGTGTGTGTTAATTTGCTCTGGAGACAACAAAACAAGAATAGAAATGTACAATTATCCTTCATCTAAAGCTAAGCTTAAACATAATTAAATTGTCTTTAATTCTAACGTTCTTGCCAAATTGACACTCTCATGAACTTTTCTGAAACGCTTTTCTCATGTTTAAAACCTAAATTTAGATAATTAAGATAATGCACGTATTGAATTCACCGTTTCTTTAATTAGAACAAATTTTAATGAGTTTATACTCTTAAATTCAAACTTGCACTTCGCCAGAGGTTTTAAAATTTTCAACTTGAAAAAATAACATCATTACGGAGTGTAAGGTATCACACATTGCTGGAACTTATTAAGATTCAATAAAGCTATCAGCCATGAGCCGTCTTAATTAAAGCCAAACATAGAGATATAAATATCTACTGCAAGTTACTGATTACATTTGTACGCCTTTTTTATTTGATTGTTTTTTACTAAAATAATAAACTACCACTAACTTTAATAATAATTTAATTTTGTTATAGATAACTGCAATGTATCGGGGTAGTAACACTCCAATAATCTGAGGATTGAGTGAGTTCTGATGTACACAATGCATCGGGGTAGTAACACTTCGATAATCTGAGGATTGAGTGAGTCCTGATGTACACAATGCATCGGGGGTAGTAACACTTCAATAATCTGAGGATTGAATGAGTTCTGATGTACACAATGCATCGGGGTAGTAACACTTCAATAATCTGAGGATTGAGTGCGTTTTGATGTACACATTGAGTTTAGGATTAAAATGTTCAAAGATTGACTTCTACAACGTTCTCAAAAGACATATGGAAAGTGTTCATTGGAACCGAATCTGACCAAACAATGCATGCAGGGGTTCTAGTTTCCGTATTTTATTTCAAGCTGACAATGCCTATCGTCTATGAAATATTTGATGAAACAACATGAAGGTTAATATGTCCAATAAATAAAACTTAATGTGTTAAGGTGTGACAAACTCGTTAAATATGAAGTACAAAAGTGTCTACTGTGGAATATTTTGACCTTTTTATGTAGCAAATGGAATTAAGTATTCTGTTAACGAAATGTCATCACGGTATAACAGTACTCTTACCTGAAGGTTCTAGTTGTATTTCTGGTCTCTCTGCAATGTTAAGATATAGCTGTATATAACATTTGCATAGGTATTTTCTTACGATGTACATAATTTTGTTATTGTGAGTTGAATCGATTAAACAGATGATTAATTAGTACGTTGACGTCCAGTGGCAACTATTTCTTGCATATTCAAGACGAGATCAAGCTAAAAGATCTCATACTAATGATCAGAATGATTGTTTATTAATGATGATCGCTTGAGTCCAGCAGCAAATAGTTCATGCATATTCAGGACAATAATAAATAACGACAAATCTGATAGATATATGCACTGTCATACGACATTGATTAAGGGATAGAAGTTTAGACGGTCACTGGATAATGAGGGTTTCTGCACACGGACAGACATTTTTGTCTTATAGAACATGCCACATATGGACCCCTTTAAAAGTTCTTGCAAGGGTTCTTAAATGTGTAGTTCTCTCCCCTGTATGAGGTATCCCGGATTCAATGCCTACATTCTGACCGGACTTTGTCACATTAATTTTTTATATATACCACACTGCCAAACAAACACCCATCTTTAACAAGAGTTCTATTGCCGGATGGAGGTAGTCCAGGTGACCATATTTCTATACCCAATTATAACTCTCTAATGGGATAATAAAACGGGTGACTTGTTTTTTTTATGAAATAGAATTGTGAATGGCTTAAGAGATATCAAGCTAAACATCTTTCATATAAAAATAGGAGATTTGGCTATTCAGGCAAAGCACCCTAATTTTCTCTATTCGTTATTTTTTGCTCATATTTCTCTACTTTTTGCCCATTATTCTGTATTTGGTAAATATCATCTAGATCCTCATATAGGTGTATCATGCCTTGTTCAACCAATTAATTCCTTACAAAGGTATTATTACCTAGTACTTGGAGGTGGACAGTCTTCCGCAGATTTCTATCCTTTGTACTGATTTGACACTCATAGGTGCCTGAATCTGAATCTTTTGCATCCCTTATGTGCAAATTCCAGTTGTTTCTGTGGATTATATGATGTATCTGAAATCTTGAATCTGATACATACGTCATCTTTCCTACTGTTAATGGATTCATATCTGACAGTTTGCGCCATACTACCTAAAGAAAGAATATATTGTATCAAATCCTCAAATTTCTACTGAAACTGATATCACAAGTTGTTTGAGATACAAAATACTCTAGTGTCTGTGCTTTTGTTATGAATTCAATATAAAATTGAGAATGGAAATGGGGAATGTGTCAAAGAGACAACAACCCGACCATATACCATTTATTATTGAACTTATTACAACGGCTACAAAGGAGTTTTTGATTTCTTATACTATTATTAAATATATAAAATTTACATTAACAGGTTATATATGTACATATATATTGTTTAGCTCAAAAAAATAGTTTTATGTATGAAGTTTCTAATGTTCAGTTGCGATAGTTCAAATAAATCAAACATCACTTAAGCTATTTTATTGTAATATTATCGGGTTGAGTCTAACAGTTGCGTATTGAACTTAAACAAATTCTGATAAGTCAGGTTTTCTTACGCGTATCCGCGTTCTTTGTTTGCGATGTGGTAGTCCTAACGATTGTCTTTCGTTAAACGACCATTGGTAAGCAACGACTCACAGTATATGTGCCTTTATTACACCAGTTACTGCACAAATGCAGCATACTAGTATATTGATAGATTGTTGCACGTTAACGCATTGAATCACAAATATTGAATAATTGTAAAAAAAACAATAAAAGTAAATTTGTGTAACATTAATCAACGAAACAAACCGTTTTTGTCCCAAGATTTTCTACAATACACGTCAGTACAGCTGTGTGTCCTTTAAAAACGGTGAAGTTTTGTTCTGATGGTGCAAACGATGGCTGAATGGGGACCAACTTTTCTCCATTTCTATTTCGACCTCTTGGGTCGTAACCTGCAGAAAAAAATACAGATATAAATGTATATAAGCTTTAAAACTCCTGCTTGTAAAAATACATAGGCATGCTTTGCATTCATGACATCCTTGCAAATTGAAAGATTGAAAGGTCTGAAAAAAATGCAACAAACCATTTAATTAATGTAAAACCTAACTATGCATATTTAGTTTACAAAGCGAAAATTCCAATTAGGGAGCAACAAAACAAATCATAGTCCTAGAAGAATACAAAGAAAAATAAAGACGAAAGAACAAATAAACGTTCGTAAAGCATTACGCAGAAACAAAGTAACAAATATTTCGTAATCACAAGGGTAACCTTAAGTGCTGCGGATGAGTAAGTAGTTCTTGGTGAAGTAGTTGCACGTGCAAGTAAAATAAATTTGACACTAATCAAAGATATGTGAAATATGAAAGATGAGAGAATACAATTACTAAAAACATCCTCAACTATAGTTTTAAATGCAATAAAACGTCTTCAACTGTCATTCTACGCTGTAATGTAATGTGTACAACTACACTTGTTGTACATGTAGTTATGAAATGACTATGTATGTGTGTTTTCAATAGTTGGTCTTCATTTAATGAATAATGCCCTCAAATACTCTGGACAAGTGTGTGAATACCGTTGTCCAAACACATTAGCATTTTAAAATAAATATTAGTAAGAGTAATCAAGGACAAGTGTCCAGACACATTAGCGTTATTTTGTATGAAGACAACAATAAGGTATTAATTAAGTAATTGACAACATTTATTGATATTAACAGACAATTTGCTCTCAGATTAATTGTCAGTAACGATGTTTCCTATTGTTTTTGGCAGTGCAACACAACGGGCGAGGACAAAACAAAAAATATTAACATTCCATGTTCGTCTGGTTTGCTTTGGTGGTAATCATATGTCTTTATTTGAGCCAGGGTGTAAATCAACTTTAAGTGAACAGTTAATGTAATACTGGTAATAATTGCAAGACACCAGCAATAAATCACGGGTTTCCATTCAGAACTGTAGGAGCTGATATTGTAACACTCAAAGAATATATAACCCACAGCTTGCAAAACTTTTGATCTTAAACTGTTCTTTATCACAGAAAGAAAACCTTCACACAATTTCAGAAAGAAAACCGCCACACAATTTCAGAAAAGACAGCAATTTTTAGAATGTCTTGAATAAACTGAGATTGCAAATTGATTAATTGATTGATAGATGTAAGTAACAAAGATATTCGAGAAGATAACAATGGGTGAGAACAAATTAACAATTTATACATTCGGTAGGGTCTACAAAGTGGGTCGATCGAGATGGAAGGGTTGATTTTATAACCACTTGAAAATTAAGGCCTATTTTCGGATAAGGATTTTTTGCAATGCAAAGGACCACCTACGGACCTCTGACTCTTTCTACATGAAGCATCGAGTTTAACGTCAAAATTTGGACATGACGTTAAAGTGTATTTATACATCCCGCGTAGCCAAACGAATGCTCCACTTTAGTAAGGATTCACTGCTGTATTGGAGAAGTCCCAAAGATGATTATATATATGTGTATACCCTAGTTAACCCTGAACAAATAATTGCGTATTTATGTACCCTGTTTCGCACTTAAACGACACACTAGGACTGATGATTGAAAGACGATGTCGGTTTCATTTCCGAGAGTCCAAAACATACAAAATATTTATGTAGATGGTTTGTTGGATGGGAAAATCTCTGATCTGTCATCTTAATTTTATTCGTGGAAGTCAGTATAGACGGTTCATAATAATTGTGGGTACCATATTTTGTTGACTCAATGCATAATGAATTTTTTACTATTCCGAAAAATATGCGTAGTCTACACTTTATACTATATAAAAATATGAAAATAACATTTAAATATTTTATGCGTCTGAATCGCTTTTCTATATTAACGATTATCAGGAACGCTCAAAGCCAAATATTTGAAAGCCAAGGATATAAGTACACACGAGGAGCTACACGACCAAAAGAGACATAAAAATAATAGCCAAATCCATCTAAAGTCAACTTTGCCTGAGATAGTTGAAATATTCATATCATAAAATAATTAGAGCATTAATTGCTGGTTGGGGAAATATATATATAAGTTGTCGATAGGAAAGGCATTTGTATGTAACAATTTGGTTAAGAAAGCTCGCAATTGGTATCGGTGAGATTTAACTGTTGTATTGTGGTTGATCCATGATATATGACATGGCTTACTTGAGAGTATATCAGCAGTCCCCTTTCGACAACCTTGAATCCAATAATAATATACTTTCAAATGTGTCCCATTATCAAGTCAATCTTCTTGTGACAAATGAACTTGTTTATGGTATTCGTTATTTCTTATTGGGTGTTAGATCTTTTAATTTACAGTCTAAGGTGTTATTAAATATTCTTAGTACCAGCATTTGTAAAGCTTTTGTTCTGAGTACATCCCAAATTTGGTTGCATGAAATGTACAAAATATTGTTGCTCCTTTTAGAACAATACTTACTTTATGAAAGAAATATTAACTTATATCAAGAACCACAATTTAAAGCTACAAATGTGATCTTACAGGAACGATCCTCGGAACGATCATAAAATGTAGGGATTAGTATTTAGAAATCCTTATACCTTGTATCTTAAAAACAACAGCTCCAGAACAGGGTGATGAAGGGGTAACATTTCTCCACACACTCGAAGGTGTTGGAGACAAAACATTGTTCTTGTCCACAATTTGTCAGGTATTTTCAATATCCCGTTGAAGGCTATAGATGTAAAAATACAGTGAGCCTTAATTTCAACAAGAAGCAGTGAAATTCTATATTTTTAGATTTAAGAAAAACGTATCCTGTTTTTATGAAAGAATATTTCTGCCTTTTTTTTATAAATCAATAAAAAATATCCTTAAAACTTTTCATGTCCCCTCAAACCCCCCTTCTCTAAGTTTAATGCTTATTAGAAAATATAATATAAATTTATTTAGAGTGATTTCAAGTTGATGTTATAGTAAATTTTGCTACCTCATTGTATATACAAGGTCTATTGAGATCACAAAGTCAACAAGCAATATATGTAGGTGTTAAAAACATATATTAAAACAATTATACGCATGGTGCACTTGTATTTGTAAATATCTGAATGGATGAAAAGTTATCTTAATCACTTACATTTAAATAGAATGACGTTAACAGAGAAAATTGTAAAATAAAATATTTAAGTAAAATTCAGCTAGACAGTTTAAGTACAAGTTCTTTCCAGTTCATTTAAAGAAGTCGAAAATAAAAAGATTTCGATTATCAATAAAATACAAATTTGGGTGACATTGATATTTAAGCTTATTTCCTATATGACATGGAAGCTAATATCATCACTTGCGGTCTATCGTCATAAACGTAAATAAGAAAAATGAATAGATTGATTTAAAGCAACTTGGGTTGAAATATTGTAAGGATTATATTGTAACTTATTATCATAAGTCGTTGTCAAGATAGCCAAAACACGTGCAAAAATGTAACATGGTGTGAGAAGAATTGTCGATGGAATTCATAGTAACTTCCTTATTGGTGTCAAACATAATTGAAATACACTTTAGATCGTTATCTTACTCGTTAATATATAAAACAGAGAAAGTTAAAAAAAAACACCGTAGAAAACTAACTAAAATTAACAGAGCTCTATTATCTATCGACTTTTATCAAACGTTCTATAAGACCAAACTAAAAGTGTGTTTGGGGTAAAACTTTGCTTCTTTGAAAAATAGGGTAGGTAGATTTTATTTTCTATATTCTATATTTACCTTCAGTGGATAACACCTACAATTTCATCATTCACTACCAAAACTGTCAATAATAACATTCAGCAATGTGAGGCATGCAAATAGGATAAGCTGGAAAACCATAATCCTGGGTTTTATTTTATTTTGGACCTTATATTCCAATATAATGGATTTTTATTCCTTATAACTAATTTTTTTATTTCAGAAAAAAAAAAACAATGAAAAAATACATAATCAAGATAAGAATACTTTAAAAGACCTAATTTTACATGTAAGTTCTCAGCGAAATCATATATAAGATCGACCATTGATTGATGGTGTTAAATGCCATATTTAGCACCATTGGCTTTTGCATGAAAGCCAGTTTTTATTGATGAAGGAAGCTAGAGTACAAAAATAGAACCATCGACCGTCGGCAGGAAAAATTGCAATCCCAGTAAATCAAGATCACAGTCAAACACACCTTACCACGAGCGTGTTTCGAACTTTAAACCTAGCTGAGTGTTGACAAGCTAGCTATAACAGTAGAACTACTTAGACCACTCGACCATGGAGGTACTCAAAACCCACGAGAGTAATACAATAATTGAATGGATTGAAGAACTACTTAGACCACTCGACCATGGAGGCACTCAAAACCCATGAGAGTAATACGATAATTGAATGGATTGAAGAACAACTTAGACCACTCGACCATGGAGGCACTCAAAACCCATGAGAGGAATACAATAATAGAATGGATTGAAGAACTACTTAGACCACTCGACCATGGAGGCACTCAAAACCCATGAGAGGAATACAATAATTGAATGGATTGAAGAACAACAGCAGTTTGTTTTACCTAAAAAAAAATCCATTTTTATCCTTAGAAAGAGGAGGACAGGTACCAGTTAGGGGGAATGAGGATCAAACAAATAATGAACCGCAGTTTAATCAAATAAGATAACCTGCTCCCTCTAACAGTAGATGGTAGTTATATTTTGGTAATGATGGTAAGACAAAGCAGAAGTAACTTTTTTGTGTAAAAAAAGAAACAGCATTTGTTTCCTTGACGTTCTTAGTAAGGTTAACAGAAAATTGTTGGTTCAGCAGTCACAACACTGATGCCTAAAACCATTCATAAATAGTTGATTTAGAAGTTATTGTACAAACAGTCAGAAATTGACAATTTTATACGACGCAGTTATATTACAGAGAATCATATAAAGGTAAACGTATCATCCTTGTTTTCT